CCAGTACTTGGGAGGCAGAGGCAGGCAGATCTTTGTGAGTTCGAGGCCAGCCTGGTCTACATCATGAGTTCTAGGACAGGTGGGGCTACAAGGAGACCCTGTCTCAAAAAGACAAAAAAAAAAATTAAACTACATAGTATGAAAGAATTGTATTGTTTGAATTTAGAAAGATGCTGTTTATAGTTTCTTGAGGGACTTACACAAAGTATTGCTGAAAGGATTTAATTCAAACTCTCCTTGCATAAGGCTAAAACTGAGGTCCAAAGGTATTAAAGGGTATTATGCTTTCTAAGGACCCCACGTATAAAGTATCGGTGAGGCCTGACCTTCACCAAGGGCACTGTTCTCCACATGGTGCCACACTGAAGAACCAAGGAAGCCAACAGGGAAGAGCAGATGTCCAGAGACAGATGTGAAGGGGAAGACAGGAGGACTGAGTGGGGAGTGCTGGCAACAGAGAGGTGCTGTGATGTTCCAGAGCATAGGAAAGGGAGCACCTCCTGAAACCCAAGGCCAGAGGGTTTTTGGAATAAGTTTGCAGTGCTTTACAAGCACTGCAGAGAATGGACAGCCTGAGAAGGGAGGTGACTGCTGAACCTGTGCTGAGGTGCTGTGGGAGAGGCCAGCTGAAGTAGAAGTAGCTGTCTTCATCCTGAGGCAGCCATAGAGGAGGAGGCCTGTTGGAATGGGGCTGCGCCTTGAGCATGAGCCAGGCTTGCTGGAGTGGCTGTTGAGGCTTGAGTCACAGCCTGGGTTCTGACTGAACTGACAAGTGCTGGAGGACAGGGAGTGGTCAGGGCTACAAGGAGCCTGAAGATCAGATCCCAGAGGCTTCAGCCCCTGGCAGGTTGTTTGGATTTTATGCTGCAGACAGCTGAGGGCTGCAGAGAGATTTTCCAAGGTGTTTTTACACCTGACATTCCATTTAAGTGTGGTGATAAATCTACATTTTAGAGTTTCTCATTTGTCACCAAGGAAATGAGTGCCACAGAGCATATGTGCCACTGGGAAGAGTTAAGCATACAGCAGTGTGCCTTGCTGTGCTCCACAGATGTGTACATGTGTCACTAAAACCCCCACTGACGTCTGCTTTGGGTGAAGTTCCTCTTCTTCCTAACCCTGCCTCTGTGAACTAGTGATCACTGAGTGCGGCAGAGGCCGCAACTATCGGTTCAGTGTTGTTCTTGGTTTGGTGTTGCAGGAATATCTGCGCAGGGCATACTCCTTAGTAAGATCTAGTTGTTAGTTGGATTGATTGCCACTTAAGGCAGCCTGTGATATGGAAAACCTTTGTCTTTGCCCTGGCTGCACTGATTAGCCAGGAAGGAACTCAGCAACAACTTGTGAGGAGGAATTAGCACTGACCCCTGGAACAAAAATAAAGGCCATTGATGAAATCACTGACATCATATCTCATGCTTCTCACAGACATAACACCGGTCTGGAGAACTGACTGTGCAGAGACCAAGTTCTTTCCTCTGTCTTTTTTGCTTCTAATTTTTCTATTCATCCTTAAAAGAAAGTTCTTTCTAAGCACATATTTGACCATGTTTATCTCTCAAAACCCCTCAAGGGTCACCGGCATTCCTTTATCTCACATGAGACTGAAGTATGAATGATTGTATGATACAGTGAACGTCATCAAATGAGGTTCACAGACACAAGGGGTCTAAGAAGAAGCCTGCTAGATAGAGGCCAGAGTGACTACCACTGACTTGACCTGGAATGATGGGGGATGAGTAGATGCTGTAGAAATCAGTGTAAGGAATTTGTTTTTAAAGGAAGGAGGGGGAGAGATGGCTGTGGCTTGAGGTGAGAACAAGTATACAGCGGTGGCCTGGCTGCACCGCCAAGCCGAGGAGAAGTGGCCAGAGAAGGGAGATTTGAAGGTACAGAGGCAAGAAAATTAGCCTGTAATGCCAGACTGCTGGACAAGTTACTCCATCTAAGCCACAGGTTCTCTTTCTGTGCAGCTGGCATGATAATATTTATCCTACTGTCTTTTAATGACTAAGCAAGGTAATTCATGTAAGGCTCATCGCCCAGGCCTTATTTAAATGTTTTTAGTTTTTCAAAAGCATTTATGTTCTCTTAGACCTCAGAATTCATAAAGGGGATAGTGGGGAGGTGCTCCTAATAAAACAGCAGTTTGCACCAGAGGAAGAAGAGAGAAGAGGGCCGGTGAGATGGCTCATCAGGTGAAGGCACTGCTGCCAAGACTGACGACCTGAGTTCAGCCCCAGGACCAGCACAGTGGGAGGAGCAAGCCAACTCTGCAAGTTGTTCTTTGTCTTCACATGTGCCCCATGCTGGCCCCGAACGAACGAGTGAGTGAGTGATGTAATGATTTTTTTTAAGAGGAAGAAAGAAGAAAGGTCCTGAAAGAACATAGCCCTAAATGGACTGTTTGGATTGGCATTTTGACTTAATTAAAAGCATGTAGTCTTGGCTCATGAGTGTGCTTTTCTATCCTTTGTTACGAGATTCAGAAAACAATGGAAAACAGTGTTCAACTCTAAGTGATTGACACATTACCAAGTAGTCTAGCATTCTTCTTATGCTCATACCCTGAAGTGGAGCGTGGAGAAACAGAGTCAGCTTTGACACTGAGAGCAGCATCCTTTGAGAAAACTTGCGTGAAGGTAAGGTGTGTTACAGACCCTAGTAGAAATGCCTAGAAAGTTCTCAGGTTAAGGCACATTATTTAACAGTGCTTATGTATTTTCTCAGTTTTAAGATCAGTTACAGAGGGCTGGAGAGATGGCTCCATGGTTAAGAGCACTGGCTGTTCTTATAGAGGACCTGGGTTCAGTGCCCAGCACCCATATGGCACTAACAACGGTCCATAACTCCAGTTCCAGGGGATCTGACGTCCTCTCCTGACCTCTGTAGGCATTCATTGCACAACACAGGTGCATTTACATACATACAGGTAACACACTCATATACATAAAATAATAAGTAAAATATTAAAAAAATCAGTTACAGAAAAGTTGCAAGAGTTGTTAGTACTGTACAGCATCTCTTGAGCGTCTTGCGGTCTAGTGTGTCGTGGGCTACTAGGTACCCGTGCAGACCCTTGCTGCTCCTCCAGCCCCAATCCTCTGCACAGCACCTGAGGCTGCCTGTGAGTAGTGACCTTCACTGTGAGGCTGTGGTTGGTGCTATCATTGGCCATGGTTATTCAGCTGCTTACAGAGGTGCTGTGGGGACATGTAGTCACGTCTGCCCTTGTGCACTGCATTATCACCTTTGCTCATTGGCGTCTTTCAGCGCTCGGTTTCTGACTGGTAGTGGAGAGAAGGTAGCAGCTTTCCTAGTGTGGCTGCATCCAGTCATTTAAGTCATGACAAACTTACAGTCTTGTTCGTTCCATTTCCCTTCCCCTGTGGCCACCCTCCTGAGCTGTTTTACTGTGTCTACGTCTGGTGTATTCTCTAAGTGGCACATGGCCCCCCGCATGTCCATAGATTCCCCTGGGCAAGTGATTTTAAAACAGTTCCTTGCATATTGTGCTGAGATGCGGAAATTGGCCACTGGCCACAGGGCAGATGCAGAGCTTGAACTGAAAATCCCATGAAGCAGAATTCCTTACTTCGTTTTAATTAAGCAGCTATGTTAATGCAAACAGGACATTTTAGACCTGGGGGGCTGCCGTGTCCTCAAGAGCCTTAAGTAGTCTTTCTTCTCTCTCGTGACTCTGAGGTGAGTTGCTATTTTATTAGGACCATCTCCTTACTATTTCCTTTGTGAATTCTCAAGTCTAAGAGAACATAGATGGTTTTGAAAAAGTGTTTTTATAGCAAGAAGCCTGCTTGTTTTTTAGAACTTGACTTACTCCTGCAGTGAAGTTTTGGGTGTAGATTATTTCGCAGCCCCTCACTGTACTGTAGCTGGCGTTGGGCTGTGTGTTTAAACGTGACTGCGTGGTTGCCGAACATGTACATGTTGGATTTGTTTTGACTTCAGCCATTCATGGGTGTGGGAGAATCAGCAGGTCTTGGGGATTGGGGTCGATCGCCTTGGGGCAGACCACGCTGCTGTGACTCTCACCTTGGGTCAGTGCTGCAGTTTTCTCTCACTCCTCTGCCTCAGAAGAGACCTCTTGGTTATCGACAGTAACCTCAGGTGATCTTTTCTGATCCCATAATGAACTCCAGAGGTGAACTCTCTGGCCAGTGTTAAATGAGAGGAGTTTATCTGCTTCGCTTTGCATGTC